AGAGAGGGTAGATTTAGACTAGACATCAGGAAGAAATTTTTTTCACTCTGCGGGGGGTGAGGCAGTGGCCCAGGTTGCCCAGAGAAGCTGTGGATGCCCCATCCCTGGAGGGGTTCAAGGCCAGGCTGGATGAGGCTTTGAGCAACCTGGGCTGGTGGGAGGTGTCCCTGCCCATGGCAGGGGGTGACACTGGGTGATCTTTAAGGTCCTTTCCAACCCAAACCAGCCTGTGATTCTGTGATTCTAAATTTCAGCAGCTTTGGCTCAGTTGGGTTGCTTGGGAGCAACTACTCGATTCAGAGGCTGGAAAACTGCTTTCTGGCCAAGGTCCCAACAGCGAACTGCTTTGCAAGGAGAGTTTGGAGGAGTCGGGTCTGGAATCACAGTTGCAGTGAATTTCTGGCGTCTCCAGACCGGCTGATGTGGAGCCACCAGCAGCTCTCTGTGGGGCGCATCGGCTCCGTCCTTAGACCACATCTGTTCACATTCCTGATGGATCGAGTTCTGCACATCCTGGTGGGGTTTGATGGAAGTTTGTCCTTGTTTTGTATAAATGGGGCAATGGGGAGAGGAGGAGCTGGTGGGGAGCAGAGGGCTGCAGATGTCCTCTGGCAAGCGACCTCCATGGAGAGAGCTGGTGGTGTCGGTGTCTTCTGCAGGTGCTGGCACAGAGGGAGGGAGCCGGGCAGAGTGATGGCTCATGGGTTTGTGTGCAGGAGACATCGCCTGGAGGTCCCCCCCCAGGAGCAGTGCTGCCGTGGGGCGTGGGAAGCGCTCGGTTCCTCTCTGGGCAGCAAGCGGGGTCGCAGCACGCAGGTTGGGTGACTGGTGGGCAGAGATTCTCGTGCTCCCAGCCAGGCTGGTCCCGGCAGGAGCTCGGCAGCTCTTACTGGAAAAAATACGGGACTTTTGGGGGAGAGTTATAACAGTAACTCTGATTTATGGATAACAATTTTTGCACCAAGTCTTGGAAGTTTGATGCAGACACCTTCTTTCCACTGTCAGTACTTGAGATTCTGGCTGGTGAATTGATTTCAGGAGCGTTGTTCTCATCCAGAACGTGGATATTTGATTTCAGGTTTGCTAACGGCTAGGTAGTGTTCAATGCAGGTAGGCAGCACCGTGCGTTTTCATTAAGCATCTTTGGGTTTATTGCTGCTGGGATGAATTCTTACTTCCTTAAATTGTAAACCAGAAGCTGCAAGTCTTAGTGTGAGGTGACAGATCGTGGGGTTTTTTCAACTCATTCTTTTTAAAAGGAACTAGTTGGTGACTTTGTTCCCAGTTGAATTTAAGTGTGCGTGGCTTGGGGCTTTCTGTGGCTTATATCCTAGGAAATTTGTTTAATACCATTCTCACATTGTTCACATTTTCTTATCATTCCTCTTCATAGCTGCTTCACCTTGTGTGTTTGCCATGGAAAAAAAAAACCTGTTTGCTGGGAAAATTCATAGCCAGCCTGTTTGTATTAGCGCAGACTGATGTGTTTCATCAAACTCTTCAGAAAATAGGTGTTTCAGTAGTTTTCTTGTACACAAGGTGTCATTTCCCTCAAGCAAATGCTAGAATTCATGGTGTCAAACTACTCTGGAATTTGAGTATGCGTAGAATTAAATAATAAAAATATTCGTATTTCGTATCTGTATTCAACATAGCCCGTTACCGAGCTAAGCTGCATTCTGTTCCCTCTCAGAGTCCTTTGACGATCACCTTGTTGAGCACAGCGTTGCAATAGTGCTCCAGAAACCAGTGTGGTGGTCAGATACCAAGGCTGGTGCATGCCGTCCCCGTCCCTCCCACTGCCATCGACCGCATCCTCTGCTTTCAAGTTTTTTCCTAAATTTGGACTTTTGTGCTGTTTTAGTAGAAAGCGAAAACAAATGTGCATATTCCAGGCATGAGATGCAGAACTGGCTCCTCTGCGCCAGTCTGGCGTTTCTGGCTGCAGAGAGGCTTTTGCGGAGGCGGGTGCCAGGATACATGTGGTCTTGCTGCTGTCGTCTGCTCTGCAAACCCTCCCGTGTTACCGAGCGGCTCTTCCTCTGGTTATTCTATTACAGAGTGTGGTCAGAGACGTTCAGAATAACTTCCACATCATAAATGTCTTGAAAAATTGCCCATTTAATTTGACGTACAGTTTTCTTTTTTCCCTCCAGTCTGCAGAATCTTTGTATTTTTAGCAGCACGTAAAGGACCTCATTTGAATTCTTTAGCCTCATAGCAACCAAAAAAATGATGTCAGAAGTGGGAGAGTGAATTTGTCTTTGAGTTAAACCTTGCAGAAGAAGGATGTGAGAAGGAGAAGATGCTGCTATATTAGATGACACCATGAGACAGTTTCTCAGACCTTGCTACTTTGAAAAATGAAGCTTCGATGAACATGTATTGAGCAAAATTCATGGGAACGTTGGCAGTAAGGGCTGCAGCTTGGAAAAATGAGAGAACAAAATACGCTTTAATATTTCTACCCTTGCTCTGCTTTGATTGTGGAGTTGGTAACGGGGAAGGATACACCCATTCCTGCCATGAAGAGTCTGGTTTTTTTTCTGGAGGATGAGTGTAAAGCTGTGCAGTGGCTCTGCTGTTGGCTGGCAGCGTGTCGTGGCAGAGCTGCCCTGCTAGCCCTGGTTATTGCCTGTGGTTTAATATTTCTATCACACCGCTGGCAACTGGGAGCGATGGCTGCTTTCCAAAGGAAGAGGTAGGGAAGGATGGATCTCCCATCCATCTCCATCTGCGTCTGCAAGACACAGTAGCAGTGAGCAGGCTGCATCAAGGAGCTGGTCAGATGAGACAAATAATTGCTTACAGGCATCTGAAGGTGCGGAGAAGTGTGCTGAGCCTTGGAGAGCACTGATGCTTTTGCTTATTGTATCTCCCCTGAGGTTTTTTATTGTTCTTTTTCTTCCCCTCAAGGAAAAATCATGCTCTTCAGGTCCTTCCCTTTGGCTGCTCTGGATTGTCCGGTGACAAGCGCTGCCACAAGCTGAGATGCAGCTTCAGCCAGAAGCTGGGGTAGCGTGTCCTGCAACAAGAACGAGCCTTGGAGAGCACTGATGCTTTTGCTTATTGTATCTCCCCTGAGGTTTTTTATTGTTCTTTTTCTTCCCCTCAAGGAAAAATCATGCTCTTCAGGTCCTTCCCTTTGGCTGCTCTGGATTGTCCGGTGACAAGCGCTGCCACAAGCTGAGATGCAGCTTCAGCCAGAAGCTGGGGTAGCGTGTCCTGCAACAAGAACCTTTCAGGTTCCTCCTTGAAGGGAGGTCAGGGTGGCTCCTGGTGTCCGTTACAGAGCTGCAGGGGCAGTTTGGAGTGAGCTTGTTCTTGAGCAGCTATTGCCCAGTGTTTTATCCGTGGGGAGCAATGCTCCTCCTCTCTGCAAGGAGGTGGTCACCAGTCCTTCGGGAAGGGACCAGAGCACAGAAACGCAGGATTTACTGTCCAGCTTTAGATTCAACATGAGAGTCAACCTGCTCTTTTTTTATTTTCAAAAGGCTTTGCAAAATTTTGTAATTTCTTGTGGAAGGCTTTCAGGTCTGTTCTGCTGGGGATCCCAGATGTTCCGAGGGCTCCTTTCAAGCCCCAGAAGAAACCTCTGGGCTGTGTTATTGAAGTTGTTTAGCTTTCAGATGTTCTGGGTAAATCACTGGATCGCTCGGAATGTGACAGTGGGGAAAATATTTTAAGGCTGTGGTGGCTCTCAACAGTTTTTTCCCGATGTTGCTGAATCTTTTTACAGCAGGCAAAATGGGCAAAACCTCCTTAGAGCAGGCAAAGTGCCGTCTGCCTCTAGAACGAGCTATTCTGAGAGGCTCAAAAACTTTTCCAAACGCTAAGCCACTTGCAAGTGTGGCCTAAAATTATTTCACCTTGCTGTTCTGGGAATGCATAATGTCCATCTGGGACCTGTGGCGAGTCAGCAGGACTCTGAAGGATGGAGCCATGCAGGTGATAACACAGCATGACTGCCCCGTGCTTATCCATTCTGCACCAAGTCGGGTTTGTAATTCACAGCGGAAGTGGGGGAGAAACTTAAAATTATTTTGAAAAGCTTAAAAAAAAAAATATGTATAGCTCTGTGGCTGGCTGGAGCACTTGGGAGCGTGGTCGGTGGGCTGGAGATGGGGCCACCCCCGTTGGCTGCGTGTTCCTGCTGCCGTTCCCCGGGGACCGCACTGTGGCAGCGTCGCTCCCATAGCCCGAGGATTTGGGTAAGGTGGGTTGTGGCAGCCTGGCTTCAGGTGGTGCCGTAGGCGTGGTGTGGTCTGAGCTGGGCTGCTCGCGGCTCCGTGGTTTCGGAGAAGGACTTGGGAGACCTTCCCCCTGCCCTCTTCCTTGCAGCCAGCCCTGGGGACTGTGGGTCCCTGGGGATTTTGCTGCCTGTGTTTTCTTCACAGTATGTTAGATCAGCCTTTTCCTTTGGTGAACACCAAGAAACTAGTGATGGCTCGACAGGGCTTGTCCGACACTCCGGTTGCATTTGATGTGGGAAGTTACCTTGCCTGTACGTGTGTGTGTGTGGGATGGAGCGGAGCAGTGGGCACAGAACTCGGGGAGCTGCACTGGGGCTTGTTTAGACCAGGACTGGTCCATCTCAGAGCAGATGGGGTCTCTGCGGTCGCCTTGCTGGAGTGTGATCTGTGCAGCGTGAGGGCTCCGGGGTGGGTTTGCCTGTCTCCATTTAGAAGCACGATGTCTTTCATCCAGGCATTTGTGTGCCTAAGAACAAAGTCACGGCATCTTGTCTTCCAGCAGACGGGACTCCTCCTTGCCCAGATTCATGCGTGTCCCCGAGCAGAGAGCAGGGGCTGGCTCCATGCACAGTCTCTACAAGGGCTTTGCAACCTCAGCCTAATTTTAGCGATGGGATACAGCTGGAAGCTGAAGTGTTTCGGCAAAGGTTTTTTTTATTAGCACTTTCCTAAAATATTTTCCATGCTTTGTACACATTTACTTATCTCCTCCCCCCCCCCCCTCTATTTTTTTTTTTTGCCTTGCAGCTTCTGACATGAAGAAAGATATAGAGTCTTTAATAGCCCAGGAGAAAGCAGAGATCGTTGCCAAGTATGAGAAGGTACCAACCTCGTGTTTCTCCCCGACATGCTGGCTAAGGCTGAAGCTGTTTAATCGATTAGGAATGCTTTGAATACGAACTCTTGCCTCCCTGCAGGCATCACCCCAGTAACCCTCACGCCATCAGGCTCTGTGCCGGCTCTCCCTACCTGCTTCTGCCTGCACACCCCCTCTCACCATCTCCACAGAGCTTCTCGCAGATCCCGTGTGTGCTCAGCACAGATACGGAAAGGTCCTGGGCTTCTAGGGCTTCAGTGCTCCCCTAACACCAGAAGGGCTTATGCCCGCCAGCACTGGTTTATTTGGTGTCCAGCCCTTTCCAGCCCATAGCAGAGGCTCACCAGGGACGCTGGACAGGCTGAACTTGGGCATTTTTCGCTTTCCTACATTGTATTTGTCTCTCCAGAGCAGGTTTTGGTCTCCTGGCTCTAGCACGTGGGGAGGGAAGGATGCAGGCGTGGGGGCAGGATGCGGGCACCGTGGCGTTCCCCGCTCTGGGCTTGGCTCATGGGTGTCCTTCTGCTTTCAGGGCAGGCAGGAAGGAGCGCGCATTGACCTGTGGGAAGATGCGGATTTCACGCTGTATAAAGTCACGGACCGGTTTGGATTCCTGCAGTAAGTCCCCCTGCGCTCTCCTGTCCCCGCGGACCCGCGTGCCCATGCACACCATCCCTCTGCACCGCGCGCGGCAGACACAGTGTGTTCCTGTGAGCCGCTCTGGGGCTCGGCTTCGTCAGTCCCAAATGCAGGAGGAAAGCCTAGATGGGCCTCCTCCCCCAGCCACACGCCTTCAAACCCTCTCGTGCTTTCAATCTGCTGCAGTCTTGCCCGTAGAGTAACTGGTGACCCCTTGCTTTTCCAGCGAGAAGGAGCTGCCGACCCGCACAGCCTTGGAGGAGAAGGTGAGAGCTGCCAGCTCTGTCGTCCTGGGTGTCGGGTCCCTATCCCACCAGCTGGCAAGGGGATGACTTTTGAGGAGATGAAAGTGCAAGCAAGGGTGAAGCAGGGAGCCAGCGCCCGCTGGTCACTGCTGCTTGTGCAGAGGACGGGTGACTCTGCACGATGCCCAGCTGCTGGAGCTTTTATTTTGCTGCATCTCCCCTCCACACTGCACTGAAACCGCAACTTTTGAAGCAATTTTGGGCTTTTTGCTCTTCTTTGGCACCGTGCTCAGCAGCTGCGACTTAAAAAGGGGATTGCATGTGTGGGGGAAAGCGGTGGAGGTTGTAGGTAACCGTCGTCTCCATCCTCATCTACCCCGAGCTGGGAGCACAGCCCCCGCTAGCATCCTGCTGCCTGGGACTGGATAGCATCTCCTTTCTGCCCATCTGGTACAATGACACGATTTGAGGCTAGCTGAACCTGCAAAGATTTTCGTTGTCAAGGAATACTCCTCTGGGAAATGCTTTCTCTGTGTTAAGCTTGTGTGTCTCATTGATTTTCCCAATACTGCTTTAATTACCACGGGTTGAAATTACCAGTTCCTGCAAGCGCTTGTGGATTATTCCCATCCGATGCGGGGTCTTCACATAGAAGTTTAAACCTAAAGAGAATGAAGTTTTGTGTTTTCAGGAGGTATCTTCTGGGAGCTCTTTTTTCTTAAATTTGTCTTGTCTTCTTCCCCCTTCCACCAGCAAAAACAGCAGGAGATCGAACGTGTGGACAAGTGGCTAAAGATGCTGAAGAAATGGGGCAAATACCGCAACAGTGACAAGGTAAGGAGGAAAAGAATGAGTCTGTGTCTGGAGGGATGGGAACAGCCCATCCTGCCAATGAGTCAGGCTTTTGAAAAGTTGACAGAGAAACCAGAGAACACTGGGAAATACTGCCTAATTCTACCCGTTAGTCTTTAATATTTTAAATCTTTCCTTGAAGCTGCTGGGTTGAGGGAAAAGTCCTGCCCTGACTAGCATGGTTTTAAAAACCGTTTCCTAAACGCTGTTGGCATGTTTGCCCTTCTACTGCCCTGTGCAAGCAGGAGCACAGCAGATACTCCTGCACCCAGCTGGTCTCCTGAGGGCAGGGAGCGTTGCACGCCGCAGGTCACTCCTGTGTCCCCACCACCTGGGAATGGCATGGCAGATGTGGATGGTATGGTCCAGCTGATGTTCCTCCTAATTCTCCCTGGAGAGAGAATTATTTGTCTAGGACATCACCTAGATCTTGTATTTTGCTTGTAGCTGTGCCTGTGAGATGCACCCCTTAGGTGCTGGGTTGTGTGCACCCCTCTGTGGAAATCAGGGATGGAGACAGCGGCCTTGTGTCTTGGCTTTGGTGTTCAAAATAAACTCTGCACCAAGCGTCACTGCAAAACCGAGTTGTTTTTAATAAATTATTTTTGTAATATGTTCCTATTACAAACCTTGTAAAACAAAAAGCCCTTGGACCTCACAACAGGAGCCTTGCTGGGCAAGGAGGGGAGCACACGCCTGTCCTCTGCTTACAGCACCGCGCAGGAGAGGGCTGGAGCCAGGGGTCACCTTGTTGCCACAGCCTCTGCAGCCGCCTTCTTCGGCAGGAGCAGCCAAAGGAGTGTTTGGTTGTATTGCTTCTAGATCCTCCTGAGACTCCTCAGGAGAAACTTGAGCTGGGTTAAAAGGTTGTGCAGAGGATATCTGCAGAGCTGCCGGGGGGACATGGAACAGAGCGTCCCCCTCGCCCGGCCAGCCAGGGTGATGTCAGCTGCACTCAGCCAAAGGCCAGCTATAGTCTCATCCTTTTTAAAAAAAAACAAACAACAAAATCTTAATCTTCATCACAACAGGGATGGCGTGGAGGTGGGCTTGGGGTTTTATAATCCTTCTGTTCACTCCAGAGTGGTTCTAATTATTTTGTTCAGTGGTGCTGCTCGTTGGGGCAAAAATTGAGGCTCTCCCGTGGCTTTGGTTTTTCTAATTAAAAGTTAGAGCTAATTGGTTAGCGACCTGGTGGGTAAAGCACCAAATTCCAGCAGAGTGCAGGGAATTCCTTCAGGTCCTGGGGGAGGTTTGGGATGGGTAGTGAGGAGTGTTTTTAGCACGCCTTGGCTTCCCTGGGCCATCCAGCGGGGACAGACGGGAGCCGGGCTGGGGGGTGGGGAGCAGGGGTGACCCCCGCCTGTCTGTTGGATTTACCCAGATAACTAGCAGGTGGGTAAGGCACGCTGCAGCCGACATCGCTCAGGTCTGCTGGATGGCCAGGGGCTGGAGTGGCAAGCAGGGTTTGAGGGTCTCTGGGTCAGAACGTCACAGAGCTCTTGTAGTGGAATAAATGACATTATTTATAACAGCCCGAAAATGGTTCGTGGCTCTGGGGCACAGACAAGGCATTGTCCCTGTGCTGGGGGACTGGAAGTGGCCATCCTGCCTCCCAGCAAACGGAGAAACAGCGCTTGGCTCCGGGCAGGGAGGTAGCAGTCTGGTGATGCCGGGGAGTAGAAAGGAGCTGTGGTTTCAGCCCCGTCCAGCCTGACACCCCACTGCCTTGCTCCAGGGCGAGCGCAAGATCTGTGCATCGGAGAAGCCGCGCAGCATCAAGTGCAAAGACCCTGAGAGGCACAAAAAAAGGACTTAAAAAAAAAAAAAAAAAAGATTCTGCCCTTCATCTGC